GAACAGGCATCCTGGCAGTGGCTCAGTGGATTGAGCATCATCCTGTGTACCAAGAGGTCACTGGTTCGATTCCCAGTTGGGGCACATGCCCCGGTTGTGGGCTCCGTCCCCAATGGGGAGCATGTAGGAGGTAGCCAATGGGTGTTTCTATCTCTCTTCCTCTCCCTTCCTCTCTCTAAAATATCAATAAAAACACTTTAAAAAAGCAACAGGAAATCATTCCTTAAAAATCAAGAACTTAAGAAATAATGCTCCTATGAGCACATGTTAAAAAACTGTTCAACAATGAAATTAAGCCAAAGATCTCAAAAATGGAAAGTACTGGTAAAAGAACTAGTAGAGTGCAATGAATCAAATTAAATAAAAACAAACATTACAGAAATGCAAGGATAGTTTAATTTCAAAAAATTAACATGAACAGATACTAAAAATATTAAAATTTAATTTTATGATAAAAAAATTCTTAGTAAGCTAGAAATAGTAGTAAAACCTTATAGCAAACATTGCAATTGTGAAACTTTATATAAGCAACTCCCATTAAAGTCAGGAATGTAACAACATTGTTTCTATCATTGCTTCTATTTATATTACTAGTGGCCCAGTGCACAAAATTCGTGCAGGGTGGGTGGGTGGGGGGTGGGAAGGGCCTCAGCCCATCTATCAGCCTAACCTGTGCCCTCTTGCAATCCAGGACCCTTTGGGGGATGTCCACCTGCTATTTTAGGTCTGATCCCATAGGAATCTGGAACAGCTGGCTCCTAACCACTCCCCTGCCTGCATGATCACCCCTAACCACTCTGTCTGCCTGACCGCCCCTAACCGCTCGCCTGCCTGATTGCCTCTAACTGCTTGCCTGCCTGCCTGCCTGATCGCCCCTAATGTACCTAGAAATAAATGTAACAAAAGATGTAAGTGAATTTTATGGAAGAAACTAGAGGCCCAGTGCATGAATTTGAGTACAGGTGGGGTCCGGCTGGCCCGCCCCAATAGGGGTCAATTGGAGGGAGGAGCTGTGGGCGGTTGGCCAGTCAGCCCCGCACCCTGGTCAAACTCCTGGTTGAGGTGACAATTTGCATATTAGCCTTTTATTATATAGGATTATAAAACTGTATTGAAACCTGAACAAATAAACATGAATCTTCATAAATGAGAAGACAAATATAAATTCTCTCCTAATCTACAAATTCCAACTCCAATAAAAATCCTTATAGTTTTCTTATTAAGAATAAAAATTAATTCAGTAAGAATTTTGTGGTTTTAACTTGTCCTATTTCCATCATCCCCTCCTGAGAGTCATGGTACCTAAAACAGCAGCCCACAAACATGGTAGAAACCAGCAGTCTGGCAGCCACTGGAGAGGGTTAAGAGTTCCTTCAAAATAGCTATCCTGGAGAATTATTATTGGACTTCCATGGTGGTTCCCTGGAAGACACCACTCACAAGGCTGTCTTTATTTGACAGAGCTGCCAAGTAAAACAGGCTTTTCCCTGGGGTGGTGTCTGTCAAAAACAATCAAAGACAATTGTTGAACATCAGGGAGGGCTGCCTGAGGCAGTGGATAACAGTTTTAACAAGTGAGGCAAAAAACAGGCTAATCAAAAAGCTTTAAAATCAAAGCTGAAGAATAAGCCTCTATGCAGTGATTGCAACTGCTGGTTTAAGGAAACCGAGGGCTTTGAAAGCTCTGGGGCTCATGAATGCAACAGACATACAAAGACCTTTATGCATGATCAGGAAAGACCTGAGATGGTCCTAAACTCTCCTTTGAACTTGAGACTGCACAAGCAAGAAGTGAAGGCTAAGGCAAAGTTATAAAATACCTGGCTGTATATTGAAGGCATGTCTTAACATGAGCAGACCCCTTTGGCAGCCTGGAGACTTATTAGTTGCAAATATTTAGGGGAATTTCTGTCAAATTATTAACTGACCACTAATCTAACCAACAATAAATACAAACTAATATTTAGTACAAAAAAGTCACCAACAAAAATTAAAAACAACTCTTGCTGGCTTGGCTCAGTGGATACAGCATTGGCCCAAGGACCGAAGGGTCTCAGGTTCCATTCAGATCAGCATGTACCTCGATTGCAGGCTTGATCTCTGGCGGGCCGGGAGGCAACCAGTTGATGTGTCTCTCTCACACTGATGTTTCCCCCTCCCCCTCCCTCTCCCCCTCCCCCTTTCCAAACTCTCTAAAAAAATCAATGGAAAAATATCCTTGGGTGACGATTAACCAAAAATAAATAAATAATAAAAATTAAAAACCAGAATGAAATAGCTGTCCAGGGCAGAATGTGGGCAAGTAGACTGCGAAGGGGCATGAAAGAATTTTCAGGGGGGAGGGGAATGCTCTACATCAGTGATGGTGAACCTATGACACGCATACTCATTTTTTTGGTTGATTTTTCTTTGTTAAATGGCATTTAAATATATAAAATAAATATAAAAAATGTAAGTCTTTTACTATGGTTGCAAATATCAAAAAATTTCTCTATATGACATGGCACCAGAGTTAAGTTAGGGTTTTTCAAAATGCTGACATGCCGAGCTCAAAAGGTTTGCCATCACTGCTCTACATCCTCAGTGGGGCATATACATTTGTCAAAAGCCATCAACCTATATACTTAAAAGCCACCTATTTTATTACATGTAAATTATATCTCCATTTTTTTAAAGGTGAACTATCTAGCCCTGGCCGGCTTGGCTCAGTGGATAGAGCATTGGCCTGTGGACTGAAGGGTCCCAGGTTCGATTCCGGTCAAGGGCACATGCCTGGGTTGCGGGCTCCATCCCTAGTGTGGGGTGTGCAGGAGGCAACCAATCAATGATTCTCTCTCATCATTGATGTTTCTAT